TTTCCTTGCTAAGGGGGGTACACTTGATCTTTAGGGTTCTCAACGTTTGTACCCCTGTAAGAGAGATTGTTGTTGGCTTGGTACCCTTGTGAATAACCCTGAGGCTTGTTGTAGTTCTGACCAGCAATCCAGTTAGATTCTTCTTGACTCAAGTCTAACTCCTCTAAGACTTCTTCAGCTTCACCCACAAAGTGTACATGCTTCTGGTTTGCAAGCACCAACTTGTCTATATTCTCATGCAGCGACTTGAGCTCTTTCTTGTGAGACTCTAGCTCAGATCCTCTTGGTGCACGGTCATAATCATCGGCGTAGTTGCCGTCACTCAAAGCCAAGTTTTCGATTAACTCCATACCCTCTTCCACTTCTTGACCAAGAAAATTGCCCTTACTAGCCGTGTCAAGCAACATTCTGATCTTGGATAAGGCTCCACGGTATATTGTGCTTAGGAGAGTCTCTTCACTGAAGCCGTCGTGAGGACACTGAATGGTATAGTCTTTGAATCTCTCCATAGCTTCATTGAATGTCTCATTCAGCCTTTGAGTGAATCCGCTGATCTCACTTTGCAGCCTTGCTGTTCTTGTGCTAGAGAAGAACTTTGAGAGGAACGCCTTCTTACATTCAGCCCAAGAGGTAATGATGCCTTGTGGAAAGGTCTTCTCCCAATGACGAGCCTTATTTCCGAGAGAAAATGGGAAGAGCCGTAGCTTGAATGCATCTTCTGAGATCCCATTGATCTTTATCATCCCACAAACTTGCTCAAAATTTTCAAGATGCTCCAAGGGGTCTTCCATAGCCAGCCCATGGAATTTGATGTTCTGAACCATAAAGATGAATCCTGGCTTTATCTCGAAGTTGTTGTTCTGCACTGGTGGAGGAGTGATCCCAAAGCGATTGTGATGTGTATTAGGAGCATCTCCAGCACCAATGATCCGTGGGGGTCTAGCTGCGTGGTTGGGGTTTCCATTGCCCCTTTCTACAGTGCCGTAAGCTGGTGGAGGTCCCTCAGGATGTTCTTGCTCAGCCATTGTTGCAAAGTCTACTGAACCAGCTTGAACAATCTCTTCAAAGGCTTGAGCTTGCTCTCTTGCTCTCCTTGATCTTGTGTGTCCGAGTTGGTGAATATTGTCCAGGGGTGTAAGTAAGTTGTTGTCATCCCTAGAACGCAAATTCATGTACCTGAAAGACACAAGTGTGAAGAGAAAGAGATTAGTAACCAAAATGAAAACAAAGGCTTAGTCTTTACTAAACCCCAAATCTTAATGCTTCCTAACAATCCTAAGATAGCAACGGCGCCATTTGATAACAATATTTTTGCAAGCAGAGGTTATTATCAAAGCTCAAGCAACCTATGGATGTAGTATAGTGTGCAAGAGGTATCAATCCAACCTAGGAAGCAGGAAGGACACTAAGAATGCAAGGATGAAGCCAATCTAAGCGAATCGGGAAAATGATTGGTAAAATCAAAGAAAACTAAATACAACAACTAAATGAGATGCAACACTATTTTAAAATCCCTGGAAGAGGGTTAACTAACACTGAAAAAAAACACTAAAATCTCTTAAACCCTTTGAATCTCCTCAACCCCAAATCCCAAAAGAAAACTACTCACTACTCATCTTTGAAACCGAATGAAACGCAATAAACAAAGAACTAAGCATGATTAAAGGGCGATTAAAGAAAAACTACTTAATATTAAAAGATTCAAGTTCAAAAACTAGAAAAAGTTTCTTGTTGTAACAATGGCGATACGCCTAAGATAAGAACAGAAAAACTAAAAGCAAGCATGGATAAGAAAGTGTAGCCGCCTCTTTCCCCATATAGCCAAACATCTCCAAATGGTCCCTTCATTAGATGCCAAAAACGGTTAAGGCCGTAAAGATCAATCTTGAGATCGATCAGCTCGCTCGATCTTCTTCATGGATCACCTTGTTCTGCTCGATCTTCAAGTCGATCTGGTTGGAGGGATCAAGCTCTTATTTCGATCTTGTGGTCAATCCTCGGGTGATCGGGTCGTGGTCTCGATCTAGCTCTCATTCTGCATGGCGTCATTCACGTCCGTACTACCGATCGATCACCTCTCTTGATCTTGGTCTCGATCCTTCCCCTTGCATCGACTCGGGTCACTCGATCTTCTGGTCGATCTCGTCTAGATCGACCTGCCTTGCTCGATCCGCTATTCGATCTCGGGTCCTTTGCATGCATGGCTGAGTTCTCCAAGTATCCACAAGCTTAGTCTCGATCCTCCTCACGTCCACATAACCTCCACAACTCCAGAGTGCTCCAAACAACCTGATAATGATGTAAAAGTGCAAGAAATATGCAAAATACGAATGCAAAGAGACCTAGGACCTAAAATGCAACAAATGGAACGAACTAGCCTATAATGCAAGATGAATGCATAAAAAACTATCATAAATACATGCAAAATATGCAGAATATATGATAATATCAAGGTACTATGGGGAGAACAACTAGAAGTGGCGCCAACAAGGAGGTGGATAAGCATGAGAAAGCTAAGGGAAAGACTAAAGAAATGGGGAGTCCAAACGCTTAGGCTCAATGGAAGAAGAAGATTGATGCTGACCCTAGTGAGAAGGTCTTGCCTAAAAAGAAAAGCTCCACCACTCATAATCAAAGACAGCTCTATGATCTGTTCCAAAAGGTGGATGTGAGGCCTACAAGGTACCTCCATGTGCCAACAATGAAGACCTTAGGGATACATGAGGATTGCAAATCTCTCATAGAGGCAATGGAGCTGTCTAAGCTAGTGGGAATCTCTCACACAGCCAATAAAGAGCAAATGCTTCAGTTCTTTGCAACTTTTGAAGTCACTTTCTATGAATTTGGAGAAGAGCCTCCTAAAGAGGATGGCGATAGTTTAATCACACTCAGAGTTTTAAGAGAAAATTATAGAATATTTTTTTTAACCATTAAAAAAAATTTTAGGTTCACTTATAGAAGCTTTAGAGAGCAGAATTTAGGAATTGGCAAAGATAAAATAATTAGGGAATTATTGGGGATTACTCGAATACTCGAAGTTCATTTGTTGAACTGTTGAATCAGGGAAAAAATCCACTCCTGATGCATTTCTATCGAAACAAATCAGAGCAGATTTATAAAAAAAGAAAAAACATGTGTCTAAGGTTTGTATTTGGATATTTTGAACTTTGTATTGGATTTTATGAAATGTAAAACTGTTTTACCTTTTATGGATTTAATAAAATCTGTTGATGACAAAAAAAAAAGTCTAAAGAATAAAGTTTAACAAAACAAAAAAAAATGAACTCAGCCCGATACTATTGGGAAAGTTAGGTCCATATAAAGACGAGAAATTGTAAGGAATGGACTCAATTAATCAGTAAATTAACTGACAGAAATCGACACAAACTGACAACTTTTTATTTATACTATTCATAAGAAAAATACTACTTTATCCTTACTCCACCATCATTATTATTTAGAAGAAAGAGAAAAATAGAAAATAAAGAAAAAAAGAGCAGAAGAAATAAAGATGGCGATGGTGGTGTTGATGATACATCGGTAGTAGTAAAATTGATAGCGATGTCGATGGTGATGGTGATGGTGGTGATGGTGGTGATGCCGATAGTGGTGGTGGTGGAAGCGATGTCGGTGGTGATGGTGGTTGTGCTGGCGGTGGTGTTGGTGATGGCTGGCCGGTTGTGGTGGAAGGGATGGTGATGCTGATGGTGGCGGTGATGGTGGTAGTGTCGGTGGTGGTGATGGTATTGATGGTGGTGGTGGTGGTGATGGTGGTGGTGATGGTGGTGGGGGTGATGACGGGCCGGTGGTGGTAGAAGTGATGACGATGCCCGTGATGGTGGTGGTGGTATCGGTGATGGCGATGGTGGTGACAGTGTTGGTGGTGGTGGTGATGGCTATAAATGGTGGTGGTAGTGATGAGTATAAGTTAACACGATAGTTATCATGCTAACAACGTTAGTATGATAAGTATTTGATATGATAACACTGTTAACATGATAATTTTGCATAACTTATACAGTTAACAAAGTTAACTCCTATTTTTCATGAAATAATAGCAATATTAACATGATAGTTATCATGTTAACCAGATATTTGTACAATGTGCTAATCGAACAAAGTTAACTCCTATTTTTCATGAAATAATAGCAACATTAACACAATAGTTATCATGTTAACTTGATTTTTGTACTATATACTAATCGAATATTATATTAGTTAGTATAGTTTACACAGTTATCACGATATCATATTAGTTAGCATGATAATTTAATTATTATCTATCAAAACCGGATCAAATAATTATAAAAGTAATATAGTCATAATTTTTATATATAATATATATTAACTTAATTTTTGATTATTTACTCCATATTTTTAATTTTACTATTATCTAAGTCTATTTATTAAATTTTCCATTTAAAGACAAATTAAGCAAAGACGTGAATATGTTTGCTACCTCTAAAAATATGATATATAAAAAATACACGTTCACGTATCACGCTCTTAATAAAAAATATTACTAGTATTTGATAATGATAGTCAATTAGCATGTGTCATCACATACTTCCATGTCAACAAGCTTATTGTCGGTCCATTTAATCAAATAAAAAGATAAACCATCGTTTTCAAGAAAAAAAAAACATCACAAAAAGTTTCTAATAGCGAAATATTCGAATATTTCCTTAAAAAAACACCATTAGAACATGTGTATTGCTAAGCTTTTCGAAGATTTTAAAGTATAAAGAAAAAACAAAAAAAAAGAATTAATGATGTGGCAAGAGAATCGATTTTCTTCACAGAAGTTGTAGGATCAACTCTTTGAGGATTTCTGATGATATGGCAAAATATCAATTGTTAATTTTTTTTTAAAAAAAAGATCGATTTTTTTAATAATAAAATTTATTTAAGAACTTTCCATCATGATCACTTCTCCATAATAAATTTAGACGGTTTCTTTAATTTCTTTATATATATACAGTCAAAAAAAAAAATAGAGCAAAATCTCAACAAAGTTAATACGTCGCCGTTTTGTGTTTTATTATCCCTTTTCTACTTTTCCCTTAAATAACCGTCGGACTCGTATTTCTCGCCTCCGCCGGCGAACTGTTTTCTCTCATCTTTCTCTCTCTAAAACTCGTGGTCTAATTTCTGCCACAAAACCCTAATTTTCTTAAACCCTAAATTTCCTGTGATTTCTGATACAATTGATTCAATTTTGTTGTTGATTTCTCAATCCATTGTTTACGAATCTCTTATCTAAGCTACATTCTCCGGGAATCGTTTTAGTCGTCTCGATTATAGAGTCGCTTACCCAAGGGTTGACTCGTTATCTCTTTCGCTAATTGCTGTTGAATTTTTATGCAATGATGGTGCATAATGGAGGAAACTAAAGGATTCTGTGATCCGGAGAATGGGAGCTCGAGTTACGGCGGAAAACCGCCGAATCCTCTCTCCTTCTCATCTTCTTCCTCTTCTTCCGCCGCCTTATACAGGCAGGGATTTGACGGCGACCGATTTCTGGCGCCGTGTAATAAGAAGTCGCTGGTTCGACACTCATCTCTCGTAAGATTCCTTTCACCCCAAACTTGATTTTTGGATAATTCATGTTTTTTTTGTTATTATTAATTTACATTGAATTTTGCAATGAATTTAACGGATTTTGTAGCGGAAGTACTTAAAGCGATCTCTGAATTTTTAATTTAGATGAAATTTTTGTATTAATTGGTTTGGTTTGGTTTTGATCTCAGAAAATTGAAATTTTTCATATTAGCTCTTAGGGTTTTTGTACAAATTATTTGCCTCAATTCGATTCTCTCTTGTGTTTTTTTCGCTTTATGTTCATCGAGTTTGTTCATCCGCATTCACAACCTATCATTGAATCAACAGTTTCTGTATTTTGAGGTTTCTGACTGGTAAATTTTGGTAGGTGAAGACAAAGGTGTCAGATATATCTGTTGAGAACGAGTTTGCTTTAGAGAAGAACAACTCAGAGTTTGAGTTTGTTCCTGCTATGCGTTCTGGAGCTTGGTCTGATATTGGCTCGAGGTCAAGCATGGAAGATGCTTATCTATGCCTCGATAATTTCATGGATAGTTATGGTCTCAAGAACTCTGAAGAAGGACCAAGTGCCTTTTATGGGGTAAGCTCTTTCTTGACCTTTCTTGACTTGTACACTTCATTGTTGTTGCAATTGGATAACAAAAGCTATATAGACGTGACATTAGTTTTATGTTGTTCATGCACAACACTCTTCTGTTCATATGGAGTTCCTCTGCGGATAAATTTTGCCAATTTGTTCATTAGTTATGACTTTGGAAGATGCCCGGTCGATTCATTTGTATTAAAGCTGTGGAATCCGTTATCTTTTTTTTTTGTTTATATTAGGTATTTGATGGACATGGTGGGAAGCATGCGGCTGATTTTGCGTGTCACCATATACCGAGGTACATTGTTGAGGATCAAGAGTTTCCTAGTGAAATCAATAAGGTGATTTCTTCGGCGTTTCTTCAAACAGACACTGCCTTCTCAGAGGCGTGTGCTTCGGATGGGAGCCTTTCTTCAGGAACTACTGCTTTAGCAGCTATTCTCTTTGGGAGGTTTGTTTGCTAATTTCAACTCTCATTTATCTTTCATTTAACGTTATAAATGACAACTACCTAAAACTGCATAGTTATGCTAGCAATATACAGGACATTCTCTGTATTATTGGCCAACTAGTTGCGTGATCATCTTTTAGGGAAAATTATTATTTTTATTCTGAAAATTGTCTACCATATTGATTGTTCTCTGCTTTCTAGATCTTGGTTAAATACTTAAGAAATTACTGGGGAAAGAAGCTTTTTATCCTCAACTGTGTAGTATATGCATAATCTCAAACTTGAGAACAATCCGATTGTAGATGTTACTCTCTGCCTGTGTTTGCTGCTGCTATTCGCGTACTTGCTTGTAGAAGTTACTCTCTGCTTGTATTTGCTGCTGCTTTACCATAGTGCTTGTCTACGCTTTACATTTTTTCCTTTGGTTGAAATTTGTATATCATTGGTCGAATATTTTTCTTACTCGGTGTGTTACTGATTTTTCTTACTGTGTTACAGGTCGTTGGTGGTGGCAAACGCTGGAGATTGCAGAGCAGTCTTGTCTCGTCAGGGGAAAGCCATTGAAATGTCGAAAGACCACAAGCCCATGAGCAGTAAAGAGAGAAGACGCATCGAGGCATCAGGTGGATATGTATACGACGGCTACCTAAACGGGCAGCTTAACGTGGCTCGTGCCCTCGGGGACTTTCACATGGAAGGCATGAAGAATAACAAAGACGGTTCTAACAATGGACCTCTCATTGCAGAGCCTGAGGTCATTACAACTAAACTAACCGAAGAAGACGAGTTCCTCATAATGGGGTGCGATGGGGTCTGGGATGTGTTCATGAGCCAGAACGCCGTGGATTTCGCTAGAAGGAGACTCCAGGAGCACAATGATCCGGTCATGTGTAGTAGAGAGCTGGTTGAGGAAGCTTTGAAGAGGAAGAGTGGGGATAATGTGACGGCGGTTGTTGTGTGTCTTCAGCCGCAGCCGCCACCCAACTTGGTTGCGCCGAGGCTGAGGGTTCAACGGAGCTTCTCGGCGGAGGGTTTGAAAGATTTACAAAGCTACTTGGATGGCTTGGGGTGCTAATGAGGAGGGTGACGAATGATTTGATTACTCTGTTTTTGTTTTTGTTTTTGTCTTTTGTTACAATTTATATAGTTTTTGGGTTTTTGGAGGTTTTTATTTGTTAAATTCTTGCAATTTGAGTAAGCTATTAGATCAGGCGGCATACAATTATTTATTGTTTGGTAAAATATATATTTTTGTCACTTTTTTATAATAATAATTCTGCATCAGTTTCACTTTTTTTTAGAAATAAAGAGGTGAATAGTGTTACAGATGAGATTCGTACCATCTATTGAAATTAAAATATTAGAAAATTTTGTAGTTATTTTAAAATTTCATATTATTCAACTAATGGTTTTTAAATGTCTTATCAAAATCTATGTTATTGAACATAAAATTTATATCAAATCAATTAAAATTATTTTAACATCCATATTATTCAATTAATTTTTTTTTTTGTAAAAACTAAATCACATTCACTGTTATTGAAAATATTTTAAATAGTGAATTTGACAAAATATTGAGTACTTTAAATGATTTGGTGGAGTTTGTTAGTTAAAAATATAGAAAATCAAATCCCATGGTTTTAGGTCAGATTTCATATAATTTTAATATCAAATCATATCAACTTCCCTGATACACATAAAATCATCTAAAATTTCATTAAAACTCAAATCTTTTCAAATTCTCTAAAATTTTAGTTTCAATACACCCCCTAAAAGCCCGATATGAAATCTGGTCGGCCAATTTTGGAAACCCAAAAAATAGTCAGGTCAGCCAAATAAATGGAAATCTTCCATCTATCGGACTAAATTCAAAAAAGACGGAAGATTGGCCTTATCGGCAAGGAAGTTTTCCTATTTCAGATACACATAGTTATCTCCAGGAGACTGACCTGACCGACTATAAATATATAAAGTCTTCGATCCGAAAATCCTCTCTCGTGGCCTAGGGCAAACTAGCAATATCAATTGTTCTTAATTCTCGATTCACTTTTCTTAAAAGTTTAGATCGGCATTCTTGTTCCGACGATCTAAACCAGTTTGTATCTCTCAAGCTCCGGCTCAATCTAATAAAGATCTCTCTTTAAACTCACAAATTCTTGTTCATTCTTTAGACCGATGAGTTATCACAGTTGGCGCCGTCTGACAACGGTTCTCAATTCATATCGAAGAAGTTCGAGGATTTCTGCGCCAAATGGAAGATCCGACTCAACAAGTCCACCCCCGTCATCCGCAGGGGAACAGACAGGCTGAATCTACTAATACGACTATCCTGGACGGCATCAAGAAGCATCTTAATGCCAAGAAGGGTTTTTGGGCCGACGAGCTGGACGGCGTGCTCTGGTCTCATCGCACAACTCCACGAACAGCTACCGGGAAGACTCCCTTTTCACTCGCATATGGATGTGAAACCGTGGTTCCTGCAGAGATCAATATTGGCAGCTTACAACGCAGAGTACTCCCGGACTTCCCCGCTGTAAATGCAGCGATGCTGGTCGATAACCTTGACACTTTCGAAGAAATACGCAATCAAGCCTGCTCAAAATGTAGAACTATTAGAACCAGGCAGCCCGGTACTATAACAAAAAAGTGCAGAATCGACATTTCGACAAATGCGATCTTGTCCTTCGAAAAGTCTACGAAAACACCAAGGAAGACAATGCAGAAAAGCTCAGAGCTAACTGGGAAGGTTCTTACATCATCACGAACATAGTCAAGCCGGGTGTTTATCTGCTCGAAGCGATAGACGGTGAATTGAACCTTAAACGGTACTACAGCTAAATCGACATCTTCCTCAGGTCGAAAAAAAAAGAAGAGAATAATACCTATGAACTACGAAGCGGTTTGATCCCCGAAAGAGGTATGTAGGCAGCCTATTTTTGGATGGCGCAACTGCTCCCCTCCTAAAAAAGGGGGGGGGGGGGGGGGGGGGGGGGGGGGGGGGGGGGGGGGGGGGGGGGGGGGGGGGGGGGGGGGACTTCGAATACTTTTACCTTTTCGATCCTTTTTTGGATTGTAAGTCTTTACTTTCTCCTTTATTCAATGAAGAATCATAATTTTCCTCACTTTTACCGTCAATTTCATATCAGAATCCTGGCTAGATGCTCGATTAGCCTAAAGCTAAAGTCTGATCCACTTTAACTCGACAACTTAAAAGCCAAGTTTTCTTGCACAATACAATTTAACTGTTTCAATCGATCCGAGTCATGCGTAGTTATCAGCCAAGTATGTCTTGCAACTGCATTCGACTCGGATACTTCTAAGTGGTACCGATAAAATGACGCCAACCTATCACACATCGAGTATTCATACTTAGAAGATAAGTGGTACGAACAACAGAAGCCAGGCCTCTTTGACCTCTGCGAATCCTCGGGCATCTCCTCCGGACCCCTTTTGCTCGAGCTAGCGGGACAGCCTTCCCCACTAGCCTCGTCTGCTCTAACCTCTTCATCCTACATATCCTCGCTTCTGCGCTCTACCAGCTCGGCTTTCTTCCGAGCTTTCTCCGCCTTCTTCGCAGCCCTCTTATCAGCTGCTTTCTTAGCCTTGGCCAAATCCTTCTCGGCCTTCTTTTCGGCTGTCATTCTAGCCTTGTTCAGGTCATTTTTGGCACCATCCCTCGAGGTAATTGGTGCCTGGCACCCTACTAATGACGTATCTGGAGCAGAATTCTCAGCTCCTTTAACACCGGAGACCCGAAAGCCGATTCTAGGTCGGCAGAAAGATCCTTGAATGAAAGAGATTTCATTTTTTCTGGTCGGTTTTGTCGTCGAAGAAGGGCAGCTGAAAAACAATTAAATGGAAACAATTAGCCGACTAAACATTTCGTTTAACACCTCGACTAAAAGGCAAAGAAAAACTAACCTTTTGTTCTTTCGATCTTCTCCTTCGTAATCTCTAGCCAAGTGATCGCACTGATCGCTGAAAACCTCTCGGAAATGTTGTAGATATCAACCGGATCGTCTACCATGAGAAGATGCCTATTACCTGCAAAGGAAACAAAACAGATCAACAAATCAGACGTACACAAACTTTTTAACTAATTTTTCAGGTCAGGCATATCTATACCCATGACCTCCGCCCATTTCGTTCGAATTGGGATATCCCGATCAACGACAGAGAATCCGTTGATCAGCACGAAGAAGTATCGGTCTCTCCAGTCCGCCACTTTTGATTTCTGGCCGCCAGTCACGATGTTAAACCGCGTCTTCATGCTCGTGTAGTACGAATTATGGTTTCTCAACTTCGCCTTAGTTCTCCTGGTGTTCTTCATCGCGTCGAATGCGGCCTGGCTCAAGGGGATATCATGCTTGATCGACATCACCAACATGCTGACAATCAGATGAATTGTCGCATGAGTAAACTGGCAGATCGGCATCTCTTTGTGATCGGCAAACTCCAGCAGCAGCCTCGGGAGGGGAAACCACATATGAAGGTCCTTGAAGAAACACTCATAGAGACATAACCATCCTTTGGGTGCATCTCATGGCCACTCAGAAGGACTTGAGACCATAAAAATCACCTCAGGACCGATATCGCACTCCTCTTTTAATGTAACCAAAGACTCCATAGTCGAGTTGGTCGGCATCACTCCCATGGCGTTATCGCAGATCGGCTTAATCGCTTTCTCCCCTTTTCGCTTCTTAGCCTTCTTCACCGGGGGATTCATGTCAATTATGCCGAACTGATTGACCTCATCTTCGACAATGACTGCATTCAATTCGTCCGAGATATCCATCTTATTCGAGATATCCATCTCATTCGAACCCCCTCTCTCGTCGGATTCATCGCGCAGTTCGGGAATTCTAAATTCTACTCTCGAAGATGTCTCTCCGGTTCTGAGAACGGCTCCTACCTGGTCGGCGTGGAATCTATCGGCCGCTGCTTGCTGATTCTTCACCCTGACTTTGCTCTTGGAAGGCCCGATCTAACGCTGAGAGATCGCTCGCATCCGAAGACCGATCTGACCCTGATTCTTCAACGACGACCCTTTTTCCTTTTGATCGGCCTCTTACGGACTTGTCATCTCTGGACATCTGGAGGAACTCTTCCAGAGAAACGCCGATCTCATTAGCCTTCGCTTGAGCCGACCTATTCTCCTTCGAATCAGATCGGCCCTCTCTGATACTCAATCTCTTACTCATTGTGGATCAAACCTAAACAGCGGCTTCAAGCAGATCGGAGAAATCTCACGGCGGAAATCGAACGAAATGCGGTGGAGGGTCGATCGGAAAATCTAGAAATTAAAAAACAAAGAAGAGAGAGAAGAGAGCAAACCTTCCAACAGAGTTTCGCTAAAATGCAGAAGTGAAGATTTATGAGCCGAACCCCTCCTATTTATACGGAAATCTGGACGGTTATCGAGAGTCATCATGACTTCGGCGACTGTTCGCATTTCTTCTCATTTTATTTTTAATCGGCCTCTTCGCTTTCCTCCCTTAGCGTTTGACACATGTCAAACCTAGTTTTGCATGCGCAGACCTACCCTACCCTAGATAACTTTTGGCCAGAACTTTTCGCGCCCAGTTAGTGATCTGACCATCATCTCATCGCCGAACAGAAACCAAAGGTAAAATTTTGTTTTATATTCTAACTTATGCAGTGGACGACCTCGTTTCATGCTGAGCTACTTCTCTTAAAATTCACCAAGTCTCGCGCCTTCACTTGCCGAACGGGGGGGGGGGGGGGGACTTACTGTTAGAGATGAGATTCGTACCATCTCTAAAAGCCCGACATGAAATCTAGTCGGCCCATTTTGGAAACCGAAAGAATAGCCAGGTCGGCCAAATAAATGGAAATCTTCTTCCATTTATCGGACTAAATCCGGAAAAGACAGAAGACTAGCCTTATCGGCAAGGAAATTTTCTTATTTCGGATACACATATTTATCTCCAGGAGACCGACCTGATCAGCTATACATGTAGGAAGTCTTCAACTTCTCAAATCATCCAAAAATCCCCTTTCGAGACCTATGGCAAACTAGCAATATCAATTGTTTTTAGTTCTCGATTCACTTTCCTTAAAAGTTTAGATCGGCGTTCTTGTTCCGACGATCTAAACCAGTTTGTATCTCTCAAGCTCCAACTCAATCTAATAAATATCTCTCTTTAAACCCACAAATTCTTGTTTGTTCTTTAGACCGAATTTGAGTTATCACATATAGCTAAGTTTGGAGGTTTTATTAGGGAAATAACAAGAGATTTATATGTTAGAAAAAATTGGCTAAAGGATGCCGAAAAGAAAATTTAGTTTCA